ATGTTGAGAGAGTATAAATACTTGTACGATTTAAAACGAAAAACGTTGGGTGCATGCAATTAATTGATAATAATACATTAGTTCAGTAGGTGAAGGTAATTGTAAACTATCTATTGCATGCACCCCACGTTTTTCGTTTTGAATCGTACAAGTATTTATACACTCTCAACATATTTATAAATTATTTGTAAATTATTTTCTACTTTTTAGGGCGTTTAAAAACGTTTTGTTTAAAAAGTTTTTTATTTATAAATTATTTATTTGCATACCACATGTAGGTAAACTTATCCATCTGTATTGAAAAGAAAACGGTTACGGATATGAAAATAGGTAAGATTAACTTTTCTTTAATAATTTAACTGGTATATTAATAAATCAATAAGAAACTTGATTTTAGCAAAGGACGTTTTATGATATGTTTAAAATTATTACTGAAAATATATATGGTTTAACACTAATATAGCTTAACCTAATCTTTGAAACCACAGATTTTAAATTGTTTAGTCAAAATGTGTTAAGTACATATTTGAAATAAATATTGTAGTTGTGAACATGGGGTGGTTTTCATATTCATAGATGATAATACACCCTTGAAGTCTGAGCCTGACAGAGCATAATCAGTGCTACACATTCATTATCCTTTGCCGAGATTGTGGTTACTTATATAAAAATTTTGTTACTACTTTTTAATACTTTTTGACGAAATGGCGACCATACAAAGTAGGTATTTTAAGCAAAGTATGAATGGAGATGAGTGTAGGATGAGTGGCGCGATCTTGTAGTCTTGTTAGTGACTGAGGTCGACATATATACTAAACATATCTATAAAGTAATTTTAGTAGATGAAAATATAACTAACTGTGAATACCTTCTTTAAAGACGGTAGTTAGTATTTACTAAATTTTACAAGCCCACTTCAGTTATCTATTTAATTATTTATTTTACCTTGCGGTTAAAAGTTACGAAAATAAGGTTTGAACTTTCATTTATTGTGCTCCCAGGGAATTGAACCAGTTACATCCGTTTTTGAACCAACTACTTTACAAAAATACTTTAAAATGTTGTTTGAATAACAAGTAATTTTACACTATTAGTAATGAACAATAGTTTTACTTACATGTATAACATATAGTTAGTTGCTTCACAAACCCTTTAGAGAAGCTACATTACGTACGGTAATATAGGAGCATATTTAGTCACAGGAATAGAGGTATTGGCATTGACCTGTAAAAGTGCCAGGTCATTTAAAACATACAATGTAATTGAAAATTCAGGAAAAACTAGTTTCTATTTTAGTTTGGATATTTTATATTTTTACGTCAAACAACTCCAAAAATGTTTCTTTAATCCTTTTTCTGCTCACATGTTTTTGTTGTTGTTATTTTTGTCACCATGACTTTCGTACTAAATATACACCAATGACGCAAACAATGCACTTGACTTCCATTCATGTAGGAGGGAATTTTAGTGATAATATGGTAGATTGGCAGCCCTGACAAGCCCAGGAGCTTTTACATCCATTAACACTGTATGTGTACTGATAATGCCACAGTGAATGGATTAGTAGAGAAGAGAGGCCCTTAGTATACAGGCTCTCTTTTGGTGGTAAACAGTAAAAAAATAATTACAAATTCATCCTCATTTAGAAACTTTCCATAAATAGCGTAACAGTCGTCCATATTAAGAGGGGGGTGAGTAAAAAGATAAAATAATTTTTTAAAACCCACAGATCTTGTAGTACAATGTAATTTGAAAATTCCTTGCAAGGGCAGATCCAGAAGCAAGCTACATCGTTTTGCAGCTCTGTATCGTTTTGAGCTTTGTCCGACTTTCAGATCGTGGAGATTAAGTACCTATCCACATTGTGTTTGGACTCATCAATTTTGAAATTTCATGTAGAACTCAAATATACCAAGAAAAATTTGTTTTAACTTAAAATAAAAAAAAGTTACAGATCGGCGGGACTGTGACAGTATAGGTAAACTTTTTATCAACGGCCAGCCTGGCGAGCGGGTCTGAAGGGTGAGTCGAGTTCCGAGAAGGTTCCTAATCCGCTGGGTATCATAGCCAAACAGACGGACTACACCTGATATTAAGTTTTACAGTATCATATTAATACTTTAAACTTAATTGGTTTTCAAACAAGAATAATCATTGTTTTATCTTAATTTTAGAAAAAATTATTTTAACCAATTTTCAATGCTTACACCATCAGGTTTATGAACAAGTTTTAAACCTTTAATATGGCTTTGTTTATAATAACTTTACATAAATTATTTGTATTTAATTAAGAACAGTGAAAGGACTAAAGGACAAGGATACAAGTATTACCCAAAACCACCAAAGATGTTTTTAAAAGACTGAAAATAGGTAAACCGTTCTGAATGGTAACTAACGACCACACACTTGATGATTGTTTTGGAAGTTCTTGGTTGAATTTGAGGCAATCAATTTATTTAAAGTCAATACAATTACACGCGCCGAGTCTTATTTTCTCAAGGTAAACAAAAGCCACGGATGAGAATCTAGGGCAAGTAAACCGTTGTTTAATTTTAAATTTCCAGGGAAATCTTTGTAAATAAAAATTGGAATCAAACTGAGCTTGATTACCAAAATCAAACAAACAGATTAAGTTGAAGACAACTATCTATTCAAAAGTTGTCTAAAGGTTGTTCGAAGACACAGGAATGGTAAACAAAATTATAATTATCTAAGAAAAGGAATCCTTAGAGATATACTATGCCAATTGAACTAATTTACTTGTTAATTAGGTTAGTTTAAAACTAATGTCAATGTGAAGAATCTGTTTGGATCTAATATAACACAATAACATCACATTGACCAATCTGAAGTGGCATGAACAAATTGGCGAATTTTTATTAATTTTTTTCAAAAAATCACAACAAAAAAAGTCCAAAAAATAATTGTATCCTCATAATATGCAATTACTACTATTATTACTTGGTAAGGTAGGAGGAATAATAATAACAATACGTCGTAATGTACAGCAGTAATGATTTTGGAAAATTAAATCGAATAAGTTATATTATTTTTTAGCCATCATTAAACATTTAGCAGTTAAGTAAAAATTCAGAAATATTCAATGTAAATGATTGATATGACCTATGGCATAATAAAATTGTGTATGGCAATATAGATATATTGTTGCAAGTCTTTCCTATGTAGATGAATTGAATTATTCTAGAGATAAGAGTAAAGATTGCTGTAAAACAATTGAGTAAGACTCCTATTAAATTAAACAAGTTGTGTTTAACCGAAAAAATTAAAATCGTAAATCTTGACATCTGTTACATTTGCCATAAGAATATTCTATAACAATAGATGAAGTGATTAGCAATATTTGTTTGGAATTTAACACACTCCAAATGAAACTGAAAAATAGTAATTATGAGTTAGAAATAGCTTTTCCTGGTGTTGCAAAATTATTGGTATTTTTATGCATTTCAAACATAGTTTTAGTATCTGATTTTTGTTTGTTTGTTGGTTGTATAAACATATTTGGTTTTGTATCTTTGAGATAAAAACTATGTTAAAGAAAACCTAATAATTTAGAAACCCTGTTTTGTAATACCAACATAAATACACAGGTAAACAAAAAACAAGCTGTTAAACTTGGATTATATTATGACATTTAATGTGATGTAAAAAAGTAGCACACAAATAACGTACTAAACTACAATGCAACAATTAACACAAACAAGAATAAATTAAGTATAAATTTAAAACTAATAACAAACAAAAACAATAAATACATACCATAAAAAATATACCAGAACAAGTTTAAAAACAGAGGTTAGGCACCTTACATTACATTAGAATTGCCTAAATTTTTGTAAACTTATTCAGTATAGGTTAACAAAAACTTTTATTTAACATGGATGGAAATCTAGCACACATGTCACCTTAATTACTAAATAAAATAGTTACGTAAGGCTAGAAATGTCACATATTAACATGTAATATCTGGAATATACGTATTTGGTAGTATGTAGTATATTAATTATCCTTTGTATATTACGCAACGTATTATAACCATGTTGTATATTGTTTAAATATGCAAGAAATAAATCATTTAAAAATAAAAACAATCATAATTCAATTTTAATTCATGACCAAAACAAAACAATCAACTTTAAACAAAATTATTTTAAAATGTCATTTTATACCTTTAAACAACATTAATAAAAACAAAAACATACAATTTAATACAGCAAATATATGAACAAGGTGCCCCCAAACTCCCTACTGACCTTTTAAGGAATGTATCTTTTCTGGACCAAAGACAAACTAAAATATTCCGTATAAATTCCCAAACTAAAACATTGCTCAACCGTCATTTTTTTACATAACTATTTTTTATTTCATAACAGCTATTTGTAGTTAATTGAAATTTGGTACATAGATAGATAACGCAAAGACCTATTTAGGAAAAAATATTATTTATACACTTTCAGTTTCTAAATGGCGGATATTTAAATCTTTTAAACTTAAATAACATTAAAACTACATAGATAAACAAAACTACTGTGGTTATGTTTTATCTTTTAAAATAGTCAATGGTTTTATTTAGAAAATTTTCACGATAGGCCTATCAAATTTAAGAAATCGGTTCATAAATAAGGGGGGGAAATATTGTTTAAGATACTGTGTTTTTAACAATATTTTGTCTCATTGGGAAAATAACAACTAAAAAAGGACAACAACTAAAACAGGCAAACGATTACAGTGATGCTAACCAATGACGGCAGGTACGATTTAATACTCGGTATTTTGAAATTATGAGTTTTCTCCCTTAGATTATGAACCAATTTTCTTTTCTTAGATATGGTACTGTTAGAATCATAATAAAATTGCCTAAATAAAACATTGCAACAGTAGTTTAATTTAAAAATGTAGTATTTATCTTATTTCATAAAAAATTTTTAAATAACCGCCATTTTAAAATAAAAATTTATAAAGATTTTTTTTTTTGTTTTTGTGTTGTCCAAATTTCAAATCAGTACAACCGAGAAAAACAAAACGACAGCTGTACAAAACGAGTGTTTGATATTTTCAACGAGATATTTTAGTTCGTTTTTGGTCTTGGATAATACCTGAAATGGTCAGTAGAAAGTTCAGGGACACCCTGTAGTGAAGGCTAAAATCAAATTACACAATTTTTTGGCAGTATGCTAAGTTTAATAAGGACTTGCAAACAAAAATCTAAATTAATAAACAACTGGAAACAATAACAATATCTAAAAACAAATTCGTTTATCAATTTTATAGTAGAAACCCTATTAAAAATCAAAATTTAAACAAATTAATAAAAGACAAGGAGATACTATGGATGGTATATACCCACATACCAAATTTTGTCAAAATCGGACCACAGGTGTGGTCTGTAGCTCTATACACATCCACACACAGACATCACTTCAAAAACCACTTTTTAAGACCATTCAAAACTCAAACATTTTGTCAAAAACAATACTTTCCCCATATTCTTACTATGTATAGAGGAGAAACTAAAAATAAAAATTTCTAAAACTATCTTTAACAAATATTAAATGTATACAATTTGTCAAACATTCAAAGTTGGTATACAAATTCAGAGTGTATCATGTTCTATACATCATTTTATAATAGGATCCACTTCTTACTTAAGATAATTTTTTTTATTTATTGATTTTGTTGTGACATTGTGAACATATTAAATAAAAATATCCACAGTTTGCAAATGAAAAAAAATCAAGAATAGTCAAATCACTCTTTTATCTTTTATTAAGTAAATGCTTGAGAGCAGGTTACTGGTATTTAAGTACAGTTGATTAAGTATGTTGACAGAATTAAAATAAATTACATTTTTAACATCAGGAAGAACAAAATATATATATGCAATATTATTATTTTATTTGTGACCATTTTACAGTATTTATATTTAAATTTTTAAATGGAAAGGGTTAAAAATATATAATGTAACAGACTTTCCTATATTTTCTCACAAAGGTCGAATGCTATAATCTACCAAGTTTTCTTTTACTAGTCTTGGGTGGGGCAGTTTCTTTATTTAAGTTACATGGGAAGCCGAGCTAGTGCCGTCCTATTTTTCGCCTTGCATTTACTGTCATAACCGTCAGGTAGGCCAGAGTGCCGTTTGACTCCCCAGAGCGTAAGAGTGATTCAGGGGAAGTGGGGTGTAGTGGGCAGGATGTAATGGAGATCGGGTACAGTTTCTTAACTCGGCTACCCTAATATCGATAAAAAATATTGATTCGATTAGTAAACATTTATTCAATTTTTTCATGATCAGGTAGTTTGGTTCGGTTAGATTAGGTTATAACAGTTTCATTTAACCCCTATAACAAATTTTGCTCATCCCCCCTGGTCGATCTTTCCACCCCCATACCGGCACCATGGAACTGGTCACTGCTACTTGGCTGGCACTCGCACTGCCATGCCTCAGGCTGTAAAATGACCCTTGACAAAGTTTTTAGGCAACTGGCACTCGGCCCTGAACTCAAGTTTTAGTTTTCTTTAAATGAGTTACACCGCAACCTGACAATGCTCTTTGTCCTTAATAAGATTATCAGTGCAGGTCATTCTTGTATATAGTAATGGCTCAACTCATTGTTTTATCCAAACAAAATGATTGCAAACCATCTATAACTAGTAACCCAATGCAATGGATAAATACAAATTTAACATTCATGCTACTTGCAAGATATCAAACAGAAACAAAACACTAACATAAACCAAAAATGGTTAAAGCAACAATCACAATATTCAAACATGTACTAGAATATCTATATTTGGTACTCTCAACTAGATATCACACTACTAATTGGTAAAAAAATATCATTACTAATTATGCTAATTAGTTTAATTTATAAATATGTGTCTCACATAGTTAAATGTGTTCAATAAATAATGCTCCTTAAGAGCACACACTAAAAATATACTTTGAGAACTAAAAATACACCAAGGTTGGATTCAATTCTAAATCACATCTTGTCAGATCTTAATACGTATATTAACCTGTAATTACCAAAATATATTTTTGGACTTGCCATATAAAAACAATGATTTTCAATGATTACGAATTCCAAAAGATACTTTTCAACTAATAAATTAAGCTAAAATTATCTTTTTCTAAAAAAAAATCCAAAACCACACATTTTTGGACCTACAAAATTGTTTAAAGTCACAATTTAATCATAAAAAAATAGTAGGTATGATAAATATTTTGTTTGCATTCTAAATAATTAGATCTCCAAGCACATATAAATAAACATCTCTATAGGTAATAAGCACATTTAAAATCAACCTACATTTCTCATTTTATGAGCAGCTAGATCAGTTTTAACTTTATAGGGCCTAAAAATAAAACATTCCGAAAACAGTGTTCGAGTAGTAGGAGTAATTCAATAGGACTAGGAAGTTACAAAACAAGCAATTACTACAAAAATACCACATAAAATAAATAACTACTATCACCATGTATTAACAAATTAAATATATTTCTAAAATATGTTTACTTATTTTTATTAAATAAATAAAATTCTTTGAGGTTGTACCACCTGCATTGGTAACTAAGGTTGTGTGTTGGTGGATAGGCCTACACTTAGTATCATTGTCTTGGCGTCTGCGAGGTCTTCGTCAGTGACGTTTTCTGTCTTACAGAACACTGACAGCACAGCTGTGGGTTCTCTGGTCCTGTACAGCCCAAGACCAAGTATTAAACAAAATATATACAAAATATTTTTAATATATACATAACTGCATGGACCCTCTATAAAATGACAAAAATTGGATGAAGGGAAAAAGGGTCTGCATCTACTATTTACAATAACAGGCTCCAAATAAAGTGAGTTAAACTCAACTCAAAAAATTTGTCTGGGATCGGCTTGCCTTCAAGACGTAAATGGGAACAATGAATGATTTGACACTTCTGAATGCCTAGTCACCCTGGTCGAGAATGAGGTTAGGGACTGACTGCCAACTTCTCAGAAGCAACAATGTTTGACCAGCTTTTCTGTTGAATTACACAAAGGAGATCCATATCATAAAATCATGGGCCAAGATAGAGTCTGTTTAACATTTACTTTCCACTCAAAATGGTTGCTCTGAACACCTTGTGGCTGGATAAGCGAACAAAAAGAGCTGGGACTTTTCATGGGTGGTTCAGAAAGTAAAAAGTAGTGTTCTTTTATAATGCGGCCCTATGTGTATAATGTCTAGATCAGGGGAACAACTGTCTGTCTAGTAGAACAGACTTTTCACCTGTTTGTTGAAAGCAAATTGAGTTAATACGAAAAACATTGGACGACTTGTAAGGAAGGAGTCACCAGCCTGTGCAACAGCTGATTGGTATACTAATCATCTGCTGCTTGGAACTTGACAGCCACTAACATCAACTAGAATCATATTAGTGTCTATTGGAAAAGATAGGATAGTAAAATAGAAAAATCCAGAACTAGCACTAGATCCTCTCAACAATTAGTACATATTAATGGTAATTCTTTATACTTACAGTTGAAATGGGAACGGATCTAACAAATCCCTGATTTTCTGGTAGGCTTCTATTTTAATCGCATTGGAGTCCCTCAGTTTTGTGTAAAAGTGTACTTTGGACACAGGATCATTGTGGCAGTCTAAGTCCAGGTAAAACTCGCCAATTCCAAATTCATAATTAGGACAACTATCTGCTAGTTTCTTGATTAATTCGGCTTTCTTTTCTTTGACACAACTCTAAAAGAACATACAGGAAATAAATTAAATAAAGAGATTTTAACAATAAAGGGTTTTTGTAATACTGACCACTTAAAAAATAAACATATTCTATAGCTTTGATTTGTTTTCTATCACTCTCAAATTCTCAGATTTGGTAAATGAACTTTTAGGTCAACAAATATCAAGAACCATTTTGTTTAGTCAAAAATATGTAATAATTATATTTCCAGTTTACATCAACAAGTCTTAGCAATAGCAAGCCTTACTATTGATGTGTCGTAATCACATGTTGGTGTAGTGTATTAATAGAATAACAAAATTAAACTAGGGTTGCTTTCAGAGAGGTGAAAGCCAGTTGAGCGGAACAAACGTGATTTGATATTTGTATAAGTAACTAAATGTAAAAAAGTCAATAGATGTATTAATGCTTGTTTTATTGATTATAAAATTATAATAATTCAAATTTGTTTTTACTACATCTTGTTATTCAGACACCTCTTCCAGAAGTGCACGATGGTAGTTTTGACCAGGAAAATATTACAGTAGTTGGAATCTGTTATTAACATCCAAAAAGGGCATTAAAGTATAAAAAAGAGAAAGGAAATTTAACATTCAAATTCAACTGTAGCCTACAACAAAAACATTGGTCTTCATTTTTCACCCTTACAAATTGGTTAAAGTATTTAAGTATAAGAAAACAGTAACTATTTAAAAAACGAGTATTAAAGTATAACATCAGGAGGGGAAATTTGACATTTAAATTCAACTGTGCAACATAAACATTGGTCTTCATTTCAACCCTTGCAATCGGTTAAACTCAGCTTTCTTTGCTGAAAATAATTTATTATTGTTAATACCAAGTATTCTTGATTTGATTGTAATGTAACTGGAATGTAGGTCTTCTACCATTATTGGAACGATTTAGAGACGGCATTTTAATACTGGCCTTAATAAAAATATTGACATTGGATACAGAAGATTTTGATGAAAAAGCTGGCTATAAATTTAACATGGGGATGGAATGTCTAGTTGTATTGATAGTCAAAGATAAAACATAGGCCTACGAAAAATGTAGGGCTATTTCAACGCAAGACTCAAATGTAAAACACTTTTAAAAGACTAAAATGAACTGAATTATCAATCATGTATTTCAATGTGTAAAAACTGCAAAAAGACTAATTTATTGAAAAATAAAATAAGATGGCTGAAATGTAGGCCTAAACATAAGTAATTTAAGTAAACATCGCACTCAGCTGATTTAAGTGAAAACAGAATAATAATAAGAAGGGAAGACATGCCTTAAATATACAATGTAGATAATATAATTAGAAATTAGTAGCCTACTTCTGGGGACAGGCCTAGAAAATTATCCGTGGTTAAAAGTGTGTACTTCTATAAGCACAGGTAATTGATTATTTACTTATTATTACGGTTGTAACTGGACGTATGTATGGCAACGTGGCTTGGCAATCAAATAACAGTATTTATACGGGATAGGCTACTGTTATCAACATTTGAAATTACTGAATTGTTACGAAATTACTGTTTCACAAAATGCAGATTCCATTTTCAGCCGAGCCATTAAAATGAGGATTTGCCGAACAATTATTAATATTACAGAATAGCATTTAATGATGTACAACTTTTCACATTTCATAAATTATATTTTAGTTTTGCTATGGGCAAAGGTCCAAATCCAAATGTTCTTTTCTTTTGGTTTTTATGTAGTAATTTGCTAGAATCATATAAAGTCAATGCTAGAATACAGTAGATAATTTGTTAAGACCATATGCAAACATTTTTGAAATCGTTTCCCCGTTTAACCAACTATTCCAAAAGATAAAAATTATATTGTTTGCATTGAAGTTGATCCCAAAGAGCTTCGCTCGCTTCGCTCGCTCCGCTCAATAATTAGCCAAAATAAAAGTTGTTATTAAATTAGAACAGGAGGACTAAGACAAAAATTTAGAAAAAAAATTTAAAGTTTAACAACTTTTTTAAAATAATACAAAGAAATAACAGCTAACTAAATGATCAATCTCTAAAACAGTATGTCAACTTATTTCTGTTGGTTTGCTACTGCAATAGAGTAGAGAGTCGATTATACAGTATATAACAATTGGGGATTGGGGGGTTCGGATATCTAATTTATTCCGATAATCGGTGAATGACAGTAAAAATTAGATACATGATTTAACATTGACTGATAAGATTAAAATATATTTTTACAGGTTTACATGTCTTTTATTGGTTTTGATTCTCTCCTGCAACGTTTCAGATGATCACGCTTTGGAAAACCGACGCTCTACTGTAAATGTTTATAATACCGTTAAAATAACTTTAACAAAAAATAATAGAGAAAGGTTGAAAATAATGCTTTTGGCTATTGGTTGAACGAAATGGGAAACGCTGCAGCAGCTGATCGTAGTCGTAGTATCTTTAAGTTTTGCTAACTTATTTTCAAAATGAGTGCGGCAAAATTAAGTAAATGCAGCAATTAGTTACTTTGTGATCAGTGCAAGGCAGCCCACTTTGTCTGGTAACTGCATTTTAACCCAAAATTAAAATTTTAATTTTAAACAGTATTCATTATAACACTATTACAGGCATTTAATTTGTGTTATATATTAAATGTATAGCTACGCTACATTGTATTTTGTTAGGAGATTGCAGTCTCTTGATTTATTTAACAACAAAACTCAATCAGCACATACAGATTGAGTTGTTGTACTTGATAAATATATTATTCCTACAGTTACCAGACAAAGCGGGCTGCCTTGCACTGATCACAAAGTAACTAATTGCTGCATTTACTTACTTTTGCCGCACTCATTTTGAAAATAAGTTAGCAAAACTTAAAGATACTACGACTACGATCAGCTGGTGCAGCGTTTCCCATTTCGTTCAACGCTTGGATTTGACATAGCCTAAAAACGAGTTGTATACCGTTTGAAAGACTAATTATTTATATGCTTTATAGTAGCTGTAGGAAAAATTAATCTGTAACGAAAATGCAAAGTGCCTGACCTATAAACATTTCTCTCATGTGCAGCAAAGTTCCACTTTGCACACTAGATACACAAATAACTATTTCCTCACTAAGATGGATTATACCATGGTAGCTGATGAAAAAAAAAGAATATCCAGTTTTATCAGTTGCATATGTGTGTAAAGAAAAAAAATAGTCTTATTTATACCAGCTCACTCCATATATGAATCAATTCAACTACTTTTGGTATAATCAGCTGTAGCTTGACTTTTAACTTGGCAATGTGATGTAAAGATCAAGCTATAGTTCGGCCGCTTAGAAAGCGACCTCCTCCAGCATTGGTTTAGCATTAGCGCGCAGGTCGTTTTCTAAGCGGCCGAACTATAGTTGTTAATCTAAGTTCAAAGACACTAACTTGTAAAAATTGGACAGACCTGTCTCTCTTTCACAGTTCCACCTTGAATTTGAATGTTGATTTTCTCAACAAATTTGTAGAGTTTTCTCTGAAAAATCCTTTTAAAAGTTGTTTGAGCTGAACTCAACTTTGGATCTCTGGTGTAGAGAATGTCAAAGAAAAGGTGATCAGTCATTTCACATAAAGACTCTGGCCTTTTGTGCGCATCCTTCAGGAGTATTCTGTAAAAACACAAAGATGATCAACAAAATTTAAATTTTAGGACATTTAGTAATATTTTTACAATCATGTTTGACAAAATTTACTAAACATTACAGTTGTAAAATACCCTTTAAAAAATTATGATAGTTTTAAGCAGGACACAGCAGTAATTAATCATGGGATTTAGTTGTATGATCCTGACTTGAGAAAAAGCTGACGCTCATATACCGTTTGAAATAGGTGGTTGGGTAGACCAATGAATTCTTCGTCAAAGTCTTTTTTTGAACGTTTGGTGGAATTACTTAGCCCACTAATAACAAAGACGGATACCAACTGCAGGTTACCTCTAAGAAAAACATAACAATAACACATCCAAGTACATAACCACTAGAAACACTGAAGCCTATACGAAATAAGCTTTTTGGATTTCATACAACCCAGTTGTAAGAAACCTGTGAAATTACAATTTTATCCAACGCAGTGTGCACAGCCCCGTGTTAAACTAATCTATCTGTTAAGTTTGCTAAAACCGGTTTCTTGAAACGGGTTTCTCCAATGTGCATAAGTCGCCACCAGTGACAGCAGCGTACCAATACTTTGGTGTAGTCGATATCAGATGATCAGTGAGAGTTTTGGGGTAGGTCATTATTCTGTTTGTAATAATGTTGATAGGTTTGTGGGTCTATTATTGGGAGTTAACAATTAACTTTTGTTCAATGTATCTATCATGAATAAATTGTTTTGTAAATAGTTTCTTTAATTAGTTCTTGCAAATATTTTTTTTTTAATTTATATTATGCATTAAATTTCCTAAGAACCTGAATGTTTTAAATCAATGCGGTGGTCCAACAGATGATTATTGTTGGACAGCTACTTACTCTGAATTGTTGATCTTGTAGCCTGCTTCACCAGCTGCAACAAATCCATCGACAGTCCTGAAAATATACCTTAGTTAGTTAGTTAGATATAGATACTTCATTTTTAATAGATATTTAACATAAAATCAGATTTGACAACCAATAGAAAAACCGTGAAACAAATTTGGCCAACTAAGTTCAAGAAACGTAAATATAACCACAAAATGGAAATAGTTGGTTTTAAAATTACCTTAGACTAAGATTTAGTTTATGGCACAGATGAAGACAAATTGTATAATGAAAACTATAAATATACTATCGAGTTTATACATAGAAAAATGCTAAGTACAGTAAGACAAATTTTCATCCCTGTCGAATACACTAAAAATCTGTGTGAAACTTGCCCAAACTCCTAGCAAACTCCAGGAAGGCTTAAAAAACCCCAAGAGTAAAAAAAAAACTCTTTGGACAAATGCTAGATTTATAAATGTGTCAAATTAACCGGGTTGTGCAGATTTTCTACGTCTGATAACTTATTGCCATTCACTTCCGTTAACTAGCAATGGACTTAAATTGGAGTTGACAACCCAGGCATTGGACCACAGAAATCTAATCAAGGACATTATTCATTTAGCCTATTATTATCATTTATTTTATTATCACCTAACAGTTGCATTAATTTTTCCTCACATCCTAATCGGTCACTAACCTAATCTTCCTCTAAGGGTAGGAGCGAGCTGGTCTATTAGAGCATGGGACTTCGGTCCGAAAGATCCTGGGTTCAAATCCCGCCAAATCACCAGATTTTATCTAAGTGATAATTCCGCAACCCCTAGGTCTAGCCTGAAGTAATGTGAAAAACAATCCCGGGCTTGTGCCTAACGTCCTGGGACAACAAAAAAATCTTCACCTAGGGGTAGTGGAGTGGATAGAATAGTAATGAGGGGAACAAAGAACACAGGTGCTAGTGTTGCTCAGCAGTGACTGAAACTTTTTGGAAACTTTAATTTACGTACTTACGTACAAACTAGGGGTCTGCGGGTCAGACTTTTTTGGTTCGGGTCGGGTCGGGTCGGGCCGATAATTTTGGTCCTCGGGTTTCGGGCCAAAATCGGGTCGGGCCAAAAATTATTAATTACCGGATTTTTTTTCTTTTTTTAACTCCTATCTGTGTTTATAATATTACTTGAAAATAACATATGGAAAAAGATTGTATTTATGTATATTATTTCATGTTCATAACTTATTTACAGCTTAGGAGTTGCCTCAACTGCAAGAAAGAAGAAAATAATTTTTTTTATCAAGCCATTCTTTCCCATTTTCATATCTGTTGAAATATCTAAACAGCTATATTACAACAAGTTTGTAATGGAACTTAATATAAATGGATCATAAACAAATCAATTAACCTTATCACAAGTTTAGGGCCTGTGGACTGGCTTCAAGACTGCAAGCAAGAAGAAAATAAAAATTCTCATGTTTCCACCATGCAATGTGAATCATTCATTCCCTGCCTCCTAACCTCTTAAGTACAAAAACCTCACACTTACAATAGCATTATGAGTATATCATCATAAATAAAGAATTATGTATTATTGGCATTAGTAGGCCTACAGCTTTACATAGGAATTATTTTTTATAGGGCCTAAAATAGTAATAGACTAAGCAACATGACAAGTGGAGAACTCATTGAAGAAAAGATATTGTGTAAACTAATTTACTATAAAACTCTAAAACAATAAATAACACACATACATTGTTTATGGTATAGTTATAGTAAAGACTGTAAAAATTGCATATCATGTCATACACAGTTATCGATACACAGTTATAGGCACTGTCACGATTGTGACAGAAATTATATTTTATTTTCATATGTTATAAGGAAATAGAATTGAATGTTAATACAAATCCTGGAAAACTAGAAGAAACCGGTTTTCTTAGTTATAGGTATTGCAAGAGATTAAAATCCTAAAACAACTGATTTTAGCTAATAAATGAAAAGAATTAAAAATGCATAAACTCAAGTCAAACAATATCACAATTATTAGGTACCCGAAAAGGAACTCTTAATATATAGAAAATTATATTAAATTAAGAGAAAAGAAAGTTAAATGCTAATTTGGCAACATAAGCAGACAGCAGGGACATTATAGTGCCCTAATTAGCAACACAACTCAATGTTTTTATACTGTAAGTCAATGTTTTTGAAACTGTAGGGTCTTTTTTTCGGAAGGAAGGGTAGTAGAATGTAAACAAAAAACCATGAATCACTCTCACAGCCGGGGGCCGGGGACACTCAAGGTTACAGACCCTCCCCCACCCCTCCCCTCCCATCTTACACAACCCGAGCCAGGCCCGGGGACAATCAAGGTCATAGACCCTCCCCCTCCCCCGCCACTATTACACCACCCGGTTGTTCCAATTGCTGACAAAATACAAGTAACAAAACAAGGAAGTAGAGACAAAAAGATATATTTTCTTTATTCAAAAATATAAAACTGTTACAGATAATTTCCAAAGAAATTAATTCATGGTAGTTTGTGTCTTGTAAATATTGTATTGGATCTTAGAAATATCTTTTTTAAAACTCAATCTAACTTAAGAAAAAAATAATTTTACTGATGAAAACTTTCATAAAATTATAAAATATTTAGGCCTAACCTCTTTGTAGACTTGTTGATACCTACTTGATACTTAAAAAAAAAAATTGTGACCATAAAATGCCGAACCAGACGATCAGAAGTGTTGTTTTGTTTTGTTACTGAATGACAAAAAGGACAATAGGAAAATAAAAGAACAAGATACAGATCTGTACACTATATCAGATATTTCTTTTGTTTATAATTTATTATGTAAATAAAATACTAAAATATAATTTAAACTAGGTATGGAATAAACAATAAATAATTTAACTGGTACTCTGGATAAATAGTCTTTCTTTTGACTTCGTTTTCTTTGCACTGTTGCGTACGGCTTTTGTTTTGTCAGTTCAGTAGCCGACTGGCTCTGGCTAGTGACAGTAAGGCAATAATTGCTCTGTTGTGTCTTTGTTCTTAAACGTGAGCAAACTTAATATTTAATTATAATTTTAACATTTTAATTCCTCTGTAATAATGTATATAAGAGTGTTTCTTTGAAAATTACTTATTATAACTTTAAAAATAGCCTAATAATTATTTTTTTTGGCCCGACCCGATCTTGGCCCGAACAAATCTCTGACTTGACCCGGTCTCTCGGGCCTTCCGCTGGCCCGACCCGACCCGAAAAAATCGGGGACCCGCAGACCCCTAGTACAAACCCACATACCCCTACAGTTAAGGCTGAAGTGATCCCAATGATACTTACATGAGTTCAACGTTGAGAACTACCCGGTGTTTGTACGCAGTGTGATGGAGGGCCGAGCGTGTTCGGAACATGTCGTATAGGTTCATTATCTCTTTATCTCTGAACGCAATGTGTGTTCTACCATCGCTGGGAAGTGTCACCTACAATCATTATTAACTGATCACTATTGATGGCTAAGAATTATCATGGACATTTAGCTTTTTAACTGACCAGACATCAAACCTACACACCTTTACTTTTATTAAACGTAAAGTCTAGTCTGAAAACTCGGCAGAGGGTGAACTTTTGAATCACACTATCTTTGCTGATCTGTTCTGGGCAATCGCAAAAGCTCAGCTCAAACTACATTTGCTAATTTAGAGCTCCATCCTGTGAGCTTGCAGGATCGTCTTTTTTGTCACATTTCGACAAAATTTGATCATTCCTGCTGGAGTTAGCGTGCTAACGGACATATATTTAATATGAATTTGAACGGCTGTTATTTTGGCCTCCTTGACACATCAAAACAAAAAGTAAATCGGTATCGAGTCCAGGTCTTACCATGAGACCTATAGTAATAGGTTATACCCTATGCATAACCATCAGTAAAATAAAAATCAATATGTTTTGTCTATTTTAAAAGGTTTGAAATGTATCTCACAATTATTTACAACTATAACCTGCAGTTAAAACAAAACAAATCGCAAACAACCAATATTTATTGAAGCATATACAAACGGAACAACAAACTAACCAGAAGTGTAAAGCAATCTTGTATTGGTTGATGTGTAATCGGTTTTTATTGGGTGACCACATTTTTCTACCTCCTTCAGCTGCCTTTGGTGTGAACCACAGCCAGTTTTATTGAAATATGATTCTATAAAAAAAAGGGATTTCCATTCGAAGCTGGCATTTTTTATGCAATCTCGGCCATCTTGTTACGAGGCGCTCGGCATTCTCATTACTAGACGCTTGGCACTCAAGCAATGTCTCTGAGCGAGACGCGACAGCACACAAAGGGTTAAAGGATCGGTTGACAGAAAACTAAAATATAACTACACCAACTTTTTGAGCTTACTAAATTTTTTTTAGAGAACAATGTTTTGATTTAGATGAGCTAGAGATAAAATATTTCCATCCACCGTAACATATTTAATGAGCTAAAACCAATAGACAAATAAATAATAAATTTACTTACAACAGTGCAGAACTCCAGCAGCCTACGGTAGTTGAAGGTGATGCTAAGATTGAGATGAAGTCCGTCTCTCAAAAAGTAGTCCCACTTGTCCACATCGATTCCCGTCTCTCTGTTAGACACTATCTAGCACAAGTCATGGGTCAGATTTCACTTAAGATTCTAGAGACAGCAAAGATAAAGCTGTTAACTAAAAACTGTTGATAAACTAAAACTGACATACAACAACAGTAGAACCCCTCTTGTTTGGATGGGCTTACTGCTTGGTTAAGATTTTGATAGTCTAGATTGCCACACGCGTATGAAGACAGAATAAAATACCCAGAACTCACACTGAGCCATAAAAAATTGTGCGCTTGAATCTGCTAGTCTAAACCAGAATCTAGGTGCGCTGCTATCGCTGGGTAAAGAAAGACTAGGCCAGATGTGGTAGCAGTAGGAGAGAAGACTGACATCACTAAACCATTCCTATCAGCTGACCATAAAAGTGACATGTATAGGCTACTTAAAAATAACAAAGACACCGTTGCTCCTACATTCCAGTATAGCCACTAGCAAATTAAAAACGCCATGTTTTGTTTTTTTGCTCTGACTTTATTAATATGCAGGAATAATTTTTACACAGTTTATTCTACAAAAATACAGTTAATAACATAAACGGCAATCCAAGGGAGAGGGTATAGAGGAGACCCTTAAATTTATGGGAATTGCACTTAACCCACACTTTCACACTTATGTCCAATCTGCTAACCACTAAGTAATACACACAACTTATTTTTTTTATATATATATTCAGAAAATATTTCATATGTTTCAAAATTACAACTCACTTGATACAAAAAGTTGTCCTCAGGTCCAAGAAGAGGAGGATTACCATCTGGGGGACCCCCCATGATCAACTCCTTGATGATTCTTCGTTCAAGCTGTTTGAGGCCATGATCAGAAAATATCCCAACCAGATCATTTGATTCTACCAGTGAATCAAACATCGCCACTGAGGCTTCTTCATGCTGATACAAAAAAAATGTAGTAAATAACAAACCAATCTAATAAAGATACATTATTAAAACTGTTAACCAACCTCTAGGATTATAAAGAAAATGCTAAATGAATTTGATATTAATATGGTACAGGTAAAGAGAAATAATGTTGAACTTTAATAGTCGTCTATGTGAGAATCTGTGTTTGGATCCACAGGTTCAGTTTGTTGATAGACAAAGGTGGAATGACCGTTGAAAACGTAATTTCTTTGTACTCAGAGTATTTCCTTTTGAAAATAAATTTAGCTAAACGGCCAATCAGGTTGTATTTTATATTCTGATAGTCGCCTGTTCCAAATACCAGCTCTTCGGCAAAATATTATTCCATTTTCCAACTAGTTAGTAGTTGGAAAATGGAATAATATTTTGACAACAGAAACAATCAACGATAATATGAGGAAAATTGAAGTTGACCCATACTTGGCTCAGAGTTACTCATCTCCATTCATACTTGGCTTAAAATACCTACTATGTATAGTCGCCATTGCAATGAAAATTATTAAGTAAAAGTACCCAATTTTTAAAATTTTATTTAGTACCAACAACTATTTTTTTTAAGTCTAAAATGATCATTATGAGAACGATTGCGGCACTTTACAAACCTACCTTCCAGGGGTCGCCCCACCGTTGGGTGACTTGTTCCCACGTGTGAGAGAACGGTCCATGGCCCAGGTCATGACACAAGGCAGCCAACTGAACACACAGTGTCAACCTTTGTCTCTCCTCTGCTGTCCTACTCCTGTGCTCTCTCTCCAGCAACTTCTCCACCATCTGACCAGCTAGGTAGCAGGTGCTGCAACATCACATTCATCATCATTGTTTTAGTGTGGCAAATTGCTGTCAAACTACACACTGCTTACACCCAACTGTAATCGTTGTTAATTTTTTAGGATTACATCTGTTTTGGAGGCAATAGGCTACTTTGACTGTCTACAACTCTCTTACACTTCCTTTGCATTGCGATAATTTATTGAAATAAAACACAAAAAGATTTGTATCATTTACATTATATACTTACACACATAAAAGCTTGAACAAAAAGTGTTTTTAGTAGTTTTTCTTCAGAAGAATAACAAGGGGATATTTAATTTAGACTTTTTGGATATTTTTCTGTAACTGATAGGCATACAACAATGCTTTGTACTAAATTGTTTGATTTTATAAGCTCTACAATCTAGTTTGGAAATAAATTTTATGTTTTGGTTGTAAAAATGAGAAAACCAATTTTTACTCTCTGAAACCGTTCATACCACCTAATTACCATGTAGTTCGAGCATGGTGGTTCACGAACTTGTTCAAATAAATTTAGGTACTGTTAACACATTTATACCAAATTTGATCAGATTTGGATGATATTTATTCAAGTTGTTGCCTTAACTAACATATATTTTGAGCGGATGATGTTTTTGGTCCCTGGGGACATCAACACGAAAAAAGTAAATTGGTCCCGGGGCAAGGTCTTACTATGAGACTTACAGTACGGTAATAGCTTACTAAATGGAGAATTTGCTATGTTAAGGAACAACCATTTAATTCATGCTAATAAATTTAAAGCACTACTTTATAGCTTAAGAAATATTAAAAATGCAAAGAAAATCTACTACAATACGATATTGGTGGGGTCCAATGTTAATTTGTTAGTAGAGTTTCATAGGAAGACTTAGCGAGGCAGGGGTACACACCCAAGTGAATGTTCGTAGCGGCAATTACTAGCACCGGGGAACACATAGTTGGCAGGTCCCAGCTGTTTGATGTTGCGTAGACGCTGGAACTGCGGAGTGTCAACCACTCGCACCAGCAGTGGGTGTAGAGTGATGTGACCATGCACACTGTCGTTGAACACTTTGTAACCTACAACACAACATAGTACAGTACATCCTCTTACCTTTGTCTCTTCTCCTCAAGGAAATCCCAATTATTCAATTTTCATACAGAAGAGATTCGATTATTCTACCTAAGCCAATGGCAAAATCGTATAAATGGAAAGGTCAGATAATGCGGAAAATTATGCAAATCATTGTTAAAGTGATGACGATTATAACCAACAACCATTTCTGAATGTTCAATTAATTGCATAGTACGCAAAGTATTTGATTTTATGAACAGTGACCATATTGTACTAGAATGTACTGGCAGACCTTGAAGTGAAAGAAAATAAGAAATGTATTATCGGTAGGTACTTATGTTTAGCCCTTTCCACTTGTATCTTAAAGGCCCACCCTAGGTTTAATCTATTATGCCAGATCATTAAGCCTACCAGTATTTTAACTTCAAATTACACTTAATAAAAAATTAATAAAAAGAAAAAATGTTTCATAATTTTTTTAAGCCGAAATTTGTGTTACGAGTGGGAAACGGCCGATGTCGGCTCACAACCAACAAGAGAGTGGTAAGGGTTAAACTTATGTATATGTGTACATATGTTTATAGGAGATTTATTTTGACAAGTATCATGAATAGATACAAAAGGTAATTGTTTAACAAAATAAAAAGAATGTTAGTTTACCTGTTGCTTCCATAGCACTGGAGCAAACCTCCCGGAGATCTCCTGAAACAAAGTGTAATATTGAGTAACAAATAAATTACTAAATCTAAATTAAATGCAAAAATATAGGAAGGAGGAGATGTTTTGGGTCAAAAGCCAACTGTTTCTTCAGTCGAGATAATTTGTTTAAAGCCCACCTTCAAATCAACAACATCATGATTACCGGACAAGGGCTACAACCAATCAACTACTCTGCTATATTATCTGGCGATGAGCTTAAATTTATGGCGCTACTAATGATGTATAATTTAAAAACAAAGCTAACAACAAAACAAATCAGAAGAAAAACTACTTCCTGTTTACACGAGTCCAATTGGCGAGCAGGTTACTTGCTTCAGGGTCTTGAAATATATTAGTGGCAGTAAAAAAAAAAAATTTGGTTATGAATTTCAACAATCAAAATCAAACAAAAAACAAGTAATTACTAAAATCACAACCAGACAATCTTTAAACAATTTAGATTATGTTAGAGCATTATTACAGTTACAAATTTAAAACTTCTTCAAGTAAAATCTAGAATTATATCACCTTAAATTACCTGAAATTACTCTGTTCTCCTATATGTGATAAGATGTCACTGAGTGATTACAAAGATACCCTGGAAGTGACAGTGTTGAGAAGTCACAACACAGTAATGATGTGTCAGCTTCCTTGTTACCACCATAACAACAACAGGAAGCAATTCTTAGCTTTGTTGTTTATAATAGTAGGTCAAGGTCATTTCGGTAAACCAACTGCAGGAATGTACTTAGCCAGAAAGTATTCCAATGACAAAACATGTAAAAATTAGGTCTAATTCAAAACAAATGATATTTATCAAAATTTATTTCCAGTAATAAGTTTATTTTAAAGGATTATAAATACTGTAGAAGACATTTACTGCATAATATACCTAGGTAAAACACGATCAAATCTCTAGTTAACTGATTAGTAAAGCAGCTTATCTTACGAACCACATTGAAGTTGTTAAAGTAATAGAAAATGTTCACAATAAGCCTACAAACAAAAACTAGAGTTTAGCAAACTTTTACACAACACTCTAATACAGACAGCCATGTTTGTCATCTGAAGTGTAAGAGAAAAAAATTAAAATCTGAACAATCAATTTAATTCAGAAAAATTAATTTATGAAGTTAAACTTAAGTAGAGTAGCAACAACTATGTCGTAACAGTGGTAGAGAACTTTGACTAATTGTACATATGGAAATAGCAAAAATATTTGAACATAGAAGAACCTAAAGACAACCCACAGACTAATTTTACAGTTTTACAAGTTGTTAGAACAAAATGCAATTGCAACTAAAACATGAGAAACAAGCACAAATAAGAGTTGTGGTAAAGCACAATTAAGAGTTGTGGTAAAATGTGTGATTCTGTTTAAGTTTAGGCCTACAATACAAATTATTAAAAATGTCAAAAAGATGGTACAATATTATTTTTTTATATAAACTACAACTAATGAAACAAATGTTGGATCTTTCTACCTGGGTCCATGAGTGAATGTGCCAAATGAGATGTAGGCCTAGTGTTAGTACTGTAGGTCTATATAACAAGCCAAAAACTGATAGGTATTGAGCAAATAGTGTCGTGTGCATGAACCGTGGAATTATGTGGGCGCTGGTGATAATCATGTCACAGGAAATGCATGGGTCTTCTAGACACTATTGATAAAACCTAGTCCTTATATTTTGGTGAAATAGTTTTACTACCGTACCTTGTAAAAGTTAAAATGAGTTTTTTAGGTACTTCTTTATATTATTTCAAAAGTTTTAGAAATAAAACTTGTATTTTAAATTGAAATCAAAATACAAGTAGTATTAAAAAAAGAATAATAACCAAACTGGATTCTATTTCTCCATTTTATCTTTATTTTTTCTAGGCCACTGATCTACTTCTATGTGAAAATTCAGTAAATTTGTAGCAAAACCCTTAATTTTTATTAGAGCAGCAAAACTGATTTAGATTCTTACATCTTTATCTTCTTGTTTATTTTTATAGCGCAAAATGTAAATATATGTCAAGAAGTATTGTAGCCTATGATGTCATTACATGATATTTACATGTATATACTAAAAGAACCAACAAAGTACCTATGTTAATCAATAATGTATTTTGTATCTAGGCCTAACTGAAATTGCATTAGGTATAGCATTATTAAAAACATTTCATAAATAACAGGTTAAACAACAAACATTATCGACTTTCGAGATAATCTACAATCTATAGTTTATATGAACACGTACACAGTCTCTAAAAACTTCAGACACTTAAATGACTTAATTCTTTCCAAATTTACATTATCAAAGCTATTGTTGCAGTCTATTTATAAACAGCACAACTGCAAACTAATTTGCACACTTGCACATACTTACAATGTATTGAAAGTACAAAATGTCTCAAAAGTATTAAAACAAAGTGATAATCTAGAACTGCAAAAAGATGCACAAGCAGTGAGAAGCAAACAAGCTCAAAGTTGTGTGAGGAATGTTGGGATGCAATAATAAGCTGGCAAAGAGCCAAACTTTCACAACTACTGTACTAAGCTTTATTTATTACATGCAGCTTTCCTTGTCAGCAAAACCTGAATACAGGCTTGCTCATTACTGTATATATAATTACTGAATTATTACTGCAATAATTTAGAAGCATTAGAGATTCCACATCTCACAATCAAGTGAGGGTAGAATTACTACATGTAAATGGAGTTGGGGAGTTGTGAAGTAGGCCTACCTATGAATTTGAATTAGATAGATTTTGTAAATTAACACTGATTCCTGTGAATTATTTTTTTTTTGTGTTTTAAGAACAAACTTTTGAATAACTTGGAAAGAATTACAGGTAGAGTCCCCAAATTTGTACCACAGTTTATTTGGTATTCAAAGTAGGCCCTAACCTACTTCTGTGCATGACAAATTGTATAGCTTGATGCATTTAATAAATAGATAAACTATAAAATAAAATGTGAAAGTGGTCATAGATTTGTTTTTTGTTGAACAATTTTACTTCCCATGCACAAAACTTAGAAAATTTGATTAGGTTTAAAGGGGAAAACAGTTGAAATTGGTTAACTGACACAATTATTCAAAATGTAGACCTATAGGCCTAATAAATTATCATTCAATCATTGAGGTGGGACAAATAGAGCGAAGGATGAGTTTAGAATGGGGTGAGATGATCTATATAGGTAGCTTTTTTACTGACTAAAATCAGCTGTTTTATTACCTAGGATAATTCATCTAAGGCCCAATGATCAGGAACAGTATGAATGAAGTGTCAAAAGTTCACAGTTGTTATTTAATATTAGTCATCTTGAACTGTACAATGCTATCTTTAGTACTACATCAAACAAAATGGAATGTCCGTTGAAATTAAAAAATAAATAAATAAATAAAAAAAAAAATAAAAAAAAACAGCTGGGTCTAGTTTTGAGCTATACTAAAATACTACTGACTTTTCTCAGGGTCGATCCCACAACTTTTTTGATTGTTAGGCAAGCACTATAACCACTCAGCTACAAATTTAGCTATTACACTTAGCTACATGTTTTTGTACCCATATAAAAACATGTAGGCCTATAGGCCTACGGTATTCTTAAAGTCTTATACCTAAACAAACATAAATAAAAACACTAGCCGTGGGCCCATCCTACACAAAGGGGGTTTGCCAGTAAATAGGTAGGCCTACTGTATTTTTAATTTAATTTAGAACAGTTTTAATCAAACGCTCTCCACTGTGTTTACGATGCAATAACTTGTTTAAATATAAACCTGTGACCTGTCATAATTCTAACTCCAAACAACCGTTTTTTCTATTTGATAATTTTTTTAATTAGGTAGCCTACCTAATTGTTAATAATAATTTTAAAAGTACTAATATTGTTATTTAGTAGGTAGGTATTATGTTACTGTCTTGTTAATTTTTGCACGTGTTCATCCTTGTAATTTAGGCCTAGTAAGTTATGTTGCACAATTTACCTACGGTACCCTACATCATCTAAGTTGGGTACATATTTTACTCGGCCGTATTTTCCTGCAAAACGGCCAGCAATAGATTTTATAAGTCTCGTGCACTACTTATTGCTGCATTTACCCCCCCCCCCTTCCAACTTAGTCTCCAGGTACATGATAATGATACTGTTGTTTCCGTTTTTAATGTGTCCTCTATCAGGTGACACTATCAGTAATAACCTACTCGTCCGTATATCTCCGCAAAACAACCAGCAATAGCTTTTATAAGGTGCGCACACGACTTAATGCTGAGTTATTGTCAGGTTCACACAAATTGAGTATGGGAAAGTAAGAAATGCAGATCAGCTACTAAGATGCTTTGTGGGGTACAGTTTCTTAACTGGGCTATGCTAATATCAATTGAAACTAACTTATCGCATTGAAAATATTGATTAATAATCGATAAGTTATTTTTAACCCTCCCAGTGTTATTTGACGAAAATTCGACAAGCAGCACACTTTGTGTAGTGTTACTTGTCGATTTTTCGACACGCAGACATCGTTTACGGCGAAGGCTGTATGACTGACTGAATCGGACTGAACTGGATCGAGTTAGGTATCGTTCTTTCTGTAATATTCTAAGCTTTCTTCAGAGGTCTGTCTCAGCGCTGTACGTTCTCTGAGCCGATCGTAATTGTAGCAGACAGCTGACGTGCGTGTATTTGTAAACAGCTAGGTTACCCTGGACCGATGACTGATGTGTTTTATTACGTTTATCATTGTTTTAGTGTTAAAAATCAAAAGTAGTGATATACGTGTTGCATTATAAGAAGATTTAAGTGGTTTTGAAGTGCTGGTTGATGATCCTGAAGAAGTAGGTAGTGATATTGATGTAAATTATCAGCCAGATTCCTAGCTATGGTTAGGCTATGCATTCTTAGCTAAACGCTATGTACTGAAATCTGTTTTTTGCCCATAACTTATTTATTTGCAAATCTACTTCCTTATATTATTATATATTTGTAATCCTCATAAAATTTAGAACAAAGTGGCTATTTTCAAATATTTATAGGCCTATAATTTATACAATTTCATTGAGCGCAAACTTATTTTTTTTTTGAAAATTTTCAAAATTAGGGTGAAGTGGGGTAAGAGTAACCGGGGGGCTAGTGTAACCACGGCTTATCACTCAACTAATAAGATAATTTTATGACCTAAATACTATCATATCTTGTTATTTGGACCTTCCTTTGTTATATTTAGCCTTAAGAATGCATATAAAATATATGCAAGTAATAGTTTTAGAATGTTTAAAAAAGGCTTACATTTCCACTCCATCGGCAAGTGCCGACCTCAAACTTTGACAATTTTTCATACTCACATTTTTAATGTAAATTTGACAGTTTTTGGTTTACAAACTAATTTTTGCATGTAGAATCTGAATATAATTTCAGATCTGTGCTATTTCCTATTGTTTAGATTTTACAAGCGTGGTTACACTTACCCCTGAAATTTTGCAGTCGGGGCAAGTGGCTTTTTGGATTCGGGGCAAGTGTAACCAGGGTGTAACTCATATAATATTCAGTAGGCCTATTTTTTTTTACCTAAAAATTTTTTTTTTGAAAAAATGTTCCTTATGTTTTATATATAATATTGAAGCCCATGATTTTCCAAACAAAATGGTAGGTATATAGAACATTAGAATTAACATTGTTTTAAGCTTCTCAGATCCGTTTTAATAAAACCTTGCAAATGCGCCAAAAATAGGTGGACATTAAGGCCTAAACTACAGACACTTGGAGGGTTCCTATAGGCTACTTATATATTATGAAATTAAACTATCATAACCTAACCTAACCAACCAAACTTGCAGATAGTGAAAAAATCGCATGAAGGTATTACCTACTTATCGAATCAATAGTTTCAATCGATATTAGCATAGCCTAGCCCAGTTAAGAAACTGTACCCACTTTAGGTGCTGTAATCAGTGCAAGAAAGTCAATTTTGTCAAGTAACTGTAGGATAAATTATTGTAAAAAATATATTGTAATAGGCCTAAGTTAGGCTGCCAAAAAAATCATACCTAGGCTATCATTAACTTAGGCTATGTTTTAAGCAACCTTAGCCTAGATAGGCTTATATATGTAGGCCTAATATAAGTTTAGATTGCAGAAGGAATCCTTCTCAAAACGGCTGATCTAGGCTACGAAATTATAGGAGAAAATACAATATTTTAGAACTAGATAACCACCCTACTCTTCTTGTCTTGTGCCTTGACATGGGCACATGGGCATACTTAGGCCTATCTTCAACTAGGCCCTAACTTCACACATCGAAATAGGCAAACATAGAAAACTTGATTTCCTTACCATTACGACAGCCATTATTGATGTTCATTTCTTCACCAGTTTAATAAAATACTAAGGTCACAGTAAAACAGCATAAAATACTAGTTTTAATTAATAACAAAGTCTTGATTTAAATTTGGCATAACCAAACCATACACTCCCATACTAACCGAACCGAACCCCGAACCCGAACCGAGGAGAAGAGAACCAGAACCAGAAGAGAACCTTCATTCTTCAAGTCAACAGAAACAGCAACACTCCACTCAACCAACAGACAGACGACAGACTGAGTTAGTGAGTTGAGTGAGACCGAGACCACAGAAAACATCTGAGACGAGACTGAGACTGAACGACAGAAAGACTGAACTGAACTGAGAAGAGAAAACGAGAAAAGAGAAGGAGACCGAGCAACCGAGCAACCCACTGAGCTATGGCATAGACTAACCAACACAAGTTAAATAATTAATAAATAAATAAATTAATAATTAATTTAAAATTAATAATTAATAATTGTTACTAAGGGAGTATGTTTTATCTATGGCTATGGCTATAAATAGCTCAGTGGAGCGACCGAGCTGAGGCTGAGTCCGGTCCGGTCCTCCTGAATCCCGAGTGGAGTGGAGCTGGACTGGAACTTGAACAATCTGAATCTATTGATACGGTTTGTTGGTTTTGGCATAGATAAAACCACTGAGCTATAATTCTAACTGGAGGTAGCACTGAATGTCAAAGATGCGTGTCGCCAGCCGCCATGTTTGCGTGAGGTGGGTGTCCATAAGAAGCCATATTATTGCTATAACTATTATTATATTTGGCTTAAAATACCTACTTTGTATGGTCACCATTTCAAAGAAAATTATTAAAGTATTAAAAGTATTCAAGTATGACAAAAATACTCACTGCTATACCAACCTAGTTATAAGAAGCCATGTTATTGCTATGGTAAGAAAACTTACTGCTATACCAACCTAACAAAATCAGCGACTCGCTTTTGACAGACTTCTGCCATGGCAGTGCTACCTCCAGTTATAATTTTAGCTCAGTGGATAAAACATACTCCCTTAGTATTTTGGTCACTGAGCTATAACATTTTTGGTTGAGTCGGTTCCGGTCCGGTTTGTTTTGTTGACTGGTTGAGTTTGATTTGAGTGTTGGTTGATTTGATTGATTGTTGAGTTGAGTTGAGTTGTTGAGTCTGGTGAATCTGGTTGAAGTTGAGTTTGAGTAATCAGGAAAATAACTAAACTAAGGTAATAAATAATAAATCGTAGGTTATTAACACAAATTCAGTAAGTTATTAACACAAAATTTCATGTGACTTGGCCCGGGTCCATCTTATTGCATTTTTAATCTTATTAATTTTTGGTCTAAGTTTATATAGCCCTAACCTTAAAGGCAAGTCTAAAGCTAAAGTGTTATTATTTTTACTAATTAATTAACTATAATTCTATAATAATTACTTATCACAAAATTTTTTTAAATAGACCTAACCTAAGTTTACGTAACTATTTAGCCCACATAAGATTAGGCCATTTACTAAGCTGTAAGAGGTCTGCATAGGCCTAGGTCTCGTTTGGAGGTTACAGTACTAAGTATGATTACCCTAACTTATTTAATAAAATCATCCAACGGCTGCACTTCACTTTAGGCCCTACACTCATTCGAACGAAAATATCGATCGATATATCGTTTGGTTAGTTAGGTAAGGTTAACCTAACCTAACTAATCAAACGATATATCGAATGAAGCAATCGAATAGTCGATATTTTCACTCGGTTGTTTGTGAAGGACCTTAAGTAAAGTGCAGCCCATCCAACTTGATTATCGATTGTTACATTCGATAGGAGAAGTTTGGTTTTAGCGAATTTTGGGACATAACCTAATTGAGTTGGATACCTACCAAAGTTTTGCCTAGGCCTGCCACATTTTTACTCCTTCAATAGTCCTATGATGAATGACTTGACTAGCCTATGCCACTGAGCCTCATATTCAAGTTAAAACATGTTACTGTATCTAGGTCTGGTAAAAGTTATAGCATAAGTTAGTCTAGGTTAATTTATTCAATTAAGTGTCCAGAAAATTAATTGCTGCAGCCATTTGCTGATTTTTGTGGATGTCTGTCAAGATTTTTGGAATCCATTTTGTACAAAATTTGTGGTAACTAACCTAACTTAAGCTTTTAGGTGATGATCTTGCACAATAAACTTCGCAAAATATGTTGAAAACTCACAGGTAGAGAGTTGCATTATTGTGAATTTTCGGCCTTTACAGACTTTGGCTTGGACTTTTTCAACAAGCTCAGCAGGCGCTTTGCTGCGTCTTCTACTTAGCTCTCCAACATGATCGTTGGTTCGGCCATTTTTTAACTTTATTTTTACCCTCTGAAGCACTCCACCTTCAGTGATAATGTCGTCCCCATACACTCACAAAGATGCCGATAGATTACTATTGATTTTCAGTTTTTTGTAGTTGAAAACCATATTAATGCACACACATCATAGTTTGCAGCATTTGCAATTAACGCAGACATTTTAAAATGTCACAGTAACTCAACAGGGTACAGCGTGAACCTCTTACTAGTACGACTAGGTGCCAACTGAGTTGTACAACACTCTAAACACCAAGATGGTTGTGCTATCCCCTTGCGGACCCAGATGAAAACGTAATAATTTCTGGATAGCCCTCACAGCAACATTATCAACTCTTGCATGTGCTGCAACATCGTCTTCATCTCTCTTGATCCATAACACTGATATCTTTTGCGATTGCAGCTACACAAAGGTCCTCCACCACGATTGCGAGTTCAGTTGTTAAGGAATCCTTTTATCCCAAATTCCTGCTAATCCAAACAGGGTAGGGTCTCAGTTAGTTTCGAATAGCAACTCTACTGTAATAACAATAATTGATCATGGCTTATAACTTGGAGGAAATTTAGTGCTTACACCGGTATCAACTTTGGGAGGAATAAAATGGATGTCACAATTGTATTTTGTTTACAATTGTGTTATCTTGTCCATTTAGAATGAACAGAAGTTACAAAGAAGTTTCCATGTTGTGTCACATCACCTCAAATAATTGTTTCAAATTATGCAGGAATGTCAATGCCATTTTTTAGTTAAAATAATAAATATAAGATAAAGGTGTTTCTAGCCTGTTGTGTCTTGGACTTCGGTACAAGAGGGACAGGTTCAATTTCCGGCACACACTCAAATCATATTGGATTTGACTCTCTTTCCCAAAAAGCGTTAGTGTGCCTCCTTTATAACTCCTTGAGATATGCCACAGGCATAGACAAAAAAAAAATACATAAAAATAACATGAAAAAAGTTTTTAGAGATTTTTTTATCTTACATGCATTGTTACAGAGTAATTGGACACTTGTGAAACCATGACTTCCGACAAAACTGATAAAAATGCAAGCTCTACATCTAGCAACAATCCTTTGGAGCAGTTTGTGCTGTTGGCAAAAAGTGCAAAAGGGGCTGCTGCAATGGAGCTCATCCGGCAGGTTTTGGCAGCACCAGGAGTCTTTGTTTTTGGGGAATTGTTGGACATGCCGAATATTAAAGAGGTAATTTGTGTAGCCTAATCCTGCAATCTTGTTTGTCTTAAGGTTTTAAAATTTTATTTGGATTGTTGGCAAAACATGAACCAATGCCACTTACTTGTCTTAATGATTAGTCAGTTATTAACACGTTCAGAGCAGCAGGCATTCCAACAGGCGCTCGCCAATGGCGGCGAAGCCCCGTACGCAATTGGCATTCAAATATTTTAATCTGATGAATAACAAAAGAGCAGCGGTGATTGTACTACGTTACCCCGAGATTGGACGAAGTTCCCTAAAACACCCAAAGGTAGCAGCACTGCCTGGATCAGTAGTCAGTGGCTTTGTAATGTGGCTTGAGGAGAGAAAAATCCCCGAAACCGGGACAAAAGCATTGTCAGACGGGTTTTTACAGGAAATTTTAGTACCAACTTACACCAAATAAAGCTCAAATTCTAAGCTACAGGCTAGCAACGATTTTAACGTTCCCCGGCAATGGCTGAGCTCATACTGAACTAATGTAGTGGGGATTGTGCAACTACATCAATTGATGTAGGCTGATATGAGCGCTGGTTTCGCAACTACATCAATTGATGTAGTCAGCACTGAGTGTGTTAAGTGTTCTTTTAATGCTGTTTTGTTGTTTGTGATCAGGATTGTGTTTTTATTTTTTTAAGGGGGGAGTTCTACTGCAACAACTTTCACTTTTAAGCTGTTTTCTGTTGATAGCCCCTCGTCCAGTTGTTTTAGCTGCTGTCTTATTTACTTTGTTAGAGATTCTGAAGAGATGATGGTTTAGTAATACTGAAACTTGCTCCAGATCTAAGCCATTTCATAAGAGAGTCTGAGACCCCTGATCCTTCTTTAAAGGCGATTAAGAGGCTTAAAACAGTTGATAATTAAATTAATCACTTAGGATTGATTCTAATGGCCAATTGATACATACAACCTAATGATATACCTCTTTCAAATTGTGTTATCCATCCTTTTTACAAATAGCTTATTTAACTTTGGTTTCAGCTTGAAAATGGGCCCAACATTAACTACTATCGTACACTGAACCTTTTTGCTTATGGAACTTACCGGCAGTATGTGGAAAACAAGGATCAACTTTTAGATCTTAATGTAGCAGAGAAAAAGAAATTGCAGCATCTTACGATTGTCACCCTTGCTACAAGAATGAAGGTATGCCTTTATAGAATTAACTATTTCAAACAGCCGATAAAGAGTTATTTACCATCTCAAAATATTTTTTTCAAACCCCAGAGTGATTGTAATTTAAATACTAGTATTATGTGAGTGTTCCAAATTTGGAAAATACATTAATTTCTTACTAAACTACCCCTTTTTTACCCTCCCTGTTGCAGCAAACCTAAGTAATCGTTAAACTAATTCAATTCAAATAGAGAATAAATGCATTTTTAAGGAAACATTTTAGTGTATATCCAATGGCATTGATTATAGGAAATGAGAAAGATTCTATAACCACTTACAAATTGAGGCTCTACCCCCGAGTCTTCAGAGGAAAGGTTATGCAAACTATTTTTCTGTTCGACTTTTCGAGGAAAGAATAGGAAAATAACAATGTTTACATGTTTTAATTCATCTTGGCAGCTTTTTGTTT